AGATTTCTCAAAAATTGCCAAACCACTAACCGATTTAACAAAGCTAAACAAACAGTGGAATTGGACAAGGGATTGTCAAAACGCTTTTAACACCTTAAAGCAAAAACTAATAGAACCCTGTATTACGATACCCGGACTTCTCTAAACAATTCGTACTAACAACAGACGCTTCTAACTACGGTATTGGAGCAGTCCTATCCCAGGAAGAACACCCTTGTTGTTATGTATCAAGAACGCTCAACCCTGCCGAAATCAATTACTCTACAACCGAGAAAGAAATGCTTGCAATTGTTTGGGCGATACGTCGTTTAAGGCAATACCTGCTTGGAAGAAAGTTCAAAATACAAACAGACCATAAAGCACTAATCTGGCTAATGAACGTAAAGGACCCATCATCATGGCTACTTCGATGGAGATTACTACTCGAAAACTACGAGTACGAGATCGATTACAAAAAGGGTAAAGAAAATCAAGCTGCTGACGCCTTATCAAGAGCAAACCTTACCACCGAAGAATTAGAAGAATACGGTCAACAACAAAACTCTACACCATGGACACGATTTGTAATCTGGGAAGCGACCGAAACCCCCTCAATTTCCAGCTACGTAGCCACCGACAAACAAGATGTGATCCTTACACCTCGAGAAATATTTGACGAAGAACAATGGATTAATCACGTACATGAAGCTACATTCTGGAAACAAAGCAAGAAACGAAATAAAGAACGGCACGATTCTCGAAGAGTACGAACCCATCCGATCTATTGTCAAGGGGATAAGGTATTGATCAAGGATCATATGGCAAGAGGCAAACTTACCAGTACATGGAAGGGACCACACCAAGTAGAAGTGACCGTACTTCTCTGCTACAGATGCTACTAATTCTGATACCGCTGATGAGCCTACTCCCGGTACGAGCAGAAATTCGGACCGAACCATTGAATGACGCTAGAATCTACATTGAACAATTAGGTTCTGCCAGAATATACCATGAGACATGGAATATATTTACCATACTTGACACTAGCAAATTTCGAGAGGACTATTCTCACTGCTAAGTAAATGTATACCAAAAAAACATTTAATATAAAAATCTTCAGCCCAAAAATAACACATAGGGTAACCGTAGAATCACCAATAGTTTACAACACAAACGCCCCGAAACAACATGATGCACCACCTAAGTGTGAATCCTCTTCACCCACCCACACAGAAAGATTCCCAACTATCAACCTAACACCTTGCAGGAGCAAGTTGGGTCTAGGTCGGGGAGGTGTAACGATGAGTCGCCATGAATCACGTACTGACTGTAACGACGACTCATCCACCAACAAAACAACGATAACAATATCCCACCATTGCCCAAAATTCCGATAAAACAGATATAAAAGGGCCATTCCCAAACTCCTCAAGTCAGTTCCATTCCGCCAATTAAACGTAAGTATTTAATTTATTGTATTATTGTATAAATAAAAGCTGGAATACTACGGTATTGCGGGTCATATAAAAAAAGGTGTTCTATTCAAATTCCGCGTAACAACTGACGCGGAATCATTCTTTTGACGGACGTCTTGTGACTGCATAAATGGTCCACGTGAATCTACGTCTTTTTAGAATTGGTATGCGATTTTCTGGAGCCGCCAAGGCGCCTTATTTCCTAGGCTAGGCTTTGTTTATGCCCTGCCGAGCCTTTCCACATATTGTCTCTCCCTCCAGAGAAAGTGTTCTTAGGTGAGAGGTATGTTAGGACATCTGGCAATTCTCGGCAGAGTCGAGGCTTCTTAGAAATTGACCTGGCTGACGCCTCTGAGGGTTCTGTTCTGCGCCAGAACAGTATCTGTCTTTGGATTTCTTTGTCTCTTGTCTTTAATATTGCATATACATCCTTGCTATCCTGTTCCATCTGTAGAAGACCTTCCTGACTAAAACCATTTCTATTTAGATATTGTAATCTTTTCTGTGCATTCCTCGTGTCCGTTTTCATTTCCCTTCTCTCCTCCAGGCATCTCTTTACCCATTTCCGACTTTTTATTTTTAGCACATTCTGCTCGAATTTCATTTTCATTCTCTATGTCCAGCTTTAGTTCTCAACATATCCCGTTGCGTTTCTACTAAAATAATATAATATAATATAATTTGGAGTACACTTTTCTAATTTCAAGCACCATCTGATATATTTCGTCTATAATGCTTCTATTTCGTTTATAATGCCTCTCTCTCCCTCCAACCGAAAATTTCAGAGCCATATAGCAAAACGCTTACCATCAACATGTCAAATGTGTACATTCTACTCCTAAAATCATCTTGGAAGAGTTTTTCGCCAATCCTCCATACCTCCCTTATTAGGATGTTGGCTTTCCTAATTCTCTCTCTCATATGTTTCTTCACGTCGCCATTTCTTTGCAATTTGAAACCCAAGTAAGAGGGTTTTCCTTTTACTTTCTCAATTTCTTTTCCCTCCCATTGTCTCTTATCCTTCCGGGTCTCTCTGCCTTTTCCAAAAACTAATATATTTGACTTTTCCACGTTTAGTTCCAATCCTCTCTTTCTCAGAAATCTTTTGCCCATTTCCTCCATATCCTCTCTATTTCCAGCCAATAGTACTACGTACTATCCGCATAAGTCAATGACCAAAGTTTTTCGCTACCTATTTTTACTCCACCTATGCGCCCTTTCCCCAGTTTTTTTTTTTTCATCTCGTTGATCTATATTGAGAATAGCGTGGGACTCAACGTACAGCCTTGTCTCACGTCCTTTGATGTACGGAATTCATTAAATTTCCTACCCTTACTACGTTTCTTACCTTACCGTATATTTTAACTATTCCTTCTATGAGGCCTGGGTCTATATTATTTCCTCTCATTATTTCCCAAAGTCCCAGATGCCCTGTTTACGCTATCGAACGCAGTTCTAAGATCCACGAAAAACGCGTATAATTTACCACCTTTTTTGTTAAGTTGTCTTTCCACTATATGGTGTAACACGAAAATATTGTCCATCGTACTTTAGTTCTGTCTAAAGCCTGCCTGTGACTCGCTTAATAAATTTTCTTAATAAATTTCCTTTAGTCCTTCGTTTATGACTAATGTGTATATCTTATACGCTGTGCATAGAAAGCTTATGCCTCTGTAATTAGCCGTATAGTTCAGATCTTTTTTATGTAGCGGGATTATCACCGACCTACTCTGTTCTTCCAAGATCGTCGTTTTTTTCCAGGGTGATGTTCTTCAGTCTTTCCCTCGTACTGCCTGTACTGTAGATCCACGCCTCGTTTGGCATCCCGTCAATTCCTGCGGCTTTTTTCTTTTTTAGCCTCGTTATTTGCAACTCAATTTCTTTAACTGTCAACTCTGCTTCCAAAAGGTCGCTGACTTCCCCTGTTATAACCGTTTTCTCCTTTCCCGATTGCAAGCTCTTCTCCCCACCTAACTTTTCCATAAAATTCTTGTACCAATCTTCCCAGATCCTATTTCTTTACCTCTTTTACATACTACTTTTATATAGTTTTTATATAGTTTTATTTATATAGTTTTATATAGTTTTATATAGTTTTCTCTCGCTTGCACTTTCTTCTCTGCTATCAAGTCCTTCAATCTCCTCTTCTTTTCCCAGATTTTCTCTCTCCCTATTTTACCTTTCTTCCAGCTAAATTTTACTCTTATTTGCTTCGTGACATGGAGGAAAAGCATTATCGTTGAATCGGATCGACATCTCAATTTGACGCCATTGAAAATTAGAACATGGATATGAAGTCTAGAAGAAGAAAAAGTATATTTACCATGTGTAAGCAAATGTAATATTATATATATTATTATTATATACATTATATATATTATAAATATTAACTGAACGATTTTTTTACAATATCACGTTATCGCGTGATGATACGGAATGATATAAATGTTTCAATCAACTTTAAGATTATAAAATATTTGAAAATCAGAATATTACAAACACATCTTGGAAACATTGGAACATCAAACCAAAAATAGACAAATCCTGTAAAATCGGGACGTTTGGTCAGCTATATCAATCGCAACTTATTATATTCGAAATTTATGTGATATACAGAAATGTATAGACGTGTCCAATTTTTTCTCATCTTCTCTTCACACGATGAATCTGATCTTCCCCACGATGAATCGACTTCTCTTCCTTTTTTCCAGGCGCTACATAAGTCCTACTCTCATTTGCTCGAGAGTGCCACCATATGTAGATTAGCTATATGTAATCGCTGAAAGCAACACATATCAAATATGACTGTGAGAACGGTAATCAAATTAAAATGCAACGGTGAGACTCGTGTGATGTTGCGAGGCTCGTGTTCTTTCGTCTACAAAGAAAAGATACGACGGAGTAAATATGAAAAATAAAAGTAAATATGAAGGGGGCTCTTCCCCCCTATTGAAAAGGTGCATGGACTACGAATGGATCGCGAGCTACCAGTTGGACAGGTCTGACCAGAGCAGACGAGCTGTTCCTTTTAGTTTCCTCACGTCGATACAAATAAGTATATCAAGACAAAATTATTTTGGTTTCGAAAGACAAATATTGCAATTTATGATTTTTCTCGATAAAGTCATTTTCTTTTCAAATTTTCAAGGTCATCATCGTTTTTTAAAAAATGATAATATATTTATAGTTTGAACTTTACTTAAAGGAACTAAAAATTATCATTCATTAACTCCACTTGCTAAAATATACTTTCACAGAAGATCGATATCCCCTAAACTTCCTTCCAAGGAATTTTCATCCTATCTTTTCTTTTATTTTATCCAATTCATACAAAACTAAATGAATTATTTAACATATTTGAATATATTTCTATTCTATGTAATAAAAATAGTGAATATTAATGTAAGGAAATAATTTTGCAAAATATTTAACTTGTAGAAACTGTATTTTTGTTATCAAAATCAATAATAAATATAATAAATATAACAAAGATTTCATCTTTTTTTAGATTATGAGTGTTGGATTCCGTATAATGGAATTAACACACTTTTTGAAGAAGTTTATTTCTTGTTGTAAACGTGGTCGTGTACAAGATCTATTGTTGGACTTTTAAGGTAAAGAATAGAATGCTATAGAATGCTGTTACAGAATGAATGCTATTCAAAATGCTCTCAGAAAATGCTGCTTACTTCTTCCAAGCATGTCCTTTTATGTTTTTGGTTATCATCGTCTCCAAGTGGAAAGGGAAAGAGCATAGATGACCAACTACTGAATCTTGCCATTATGACTAATACTAACTCATTGTCTCAGTGTTTGCACTGATTCAATATTGTCCGGGTTGGTCATCCAACACGAGTGTTTGCGCAAATTTTTAAGGATATTATTTTAAAATTATAGGAAAACAAATAAATGATATCGAATCAATATCTAACTCCATTCATTAGGAGCATTAAATTATATATAATTTAAAAAATAAATTTTTGATAAAATTTTTGAAGAATCAATGCCATTAATTAAAATTAAAATTAAAATTATATATAATTTAAAAAATAAATTTTTGATAAAATTTTTGAAGAATCAATGCCACAACTTTTGAAATGGAGAGAATCGATGCTACAACTTTGAAATTCCGCTAATTTCTCGGCCGTTTTCTCATCATATTCGTAATTATTGCTGGAAATTCATCCGAAACACGCTATTTTGAGAAAAATATCGAGGAAATTATGAGTTTCGCTCTCAAAGGAGGGATATTTACGAATTTTTTGGAATATCTCCTAAATTAGCCGAAATATTTTAAGTTTGCGAGTGTTTCCCACTCCGTCGTAGAATGTAGAATGTATATTGTTATAAAATAGAACGAAGTACTTTCAACGTATAGAATTGAAAGTAGAACGTAGAACGTTCAACGTATTAACGTTGAACGTAGTACGTGGAACGAAGTATATCCTCAAACATAGGTCATTGCACGTAGTACGTAGGCGTCGTACGTATAACGTTGAACGTAGATAGCAAAACGTACACTCCCAGATAAAATAATAGCACACGCGTGCTATCTTTATTTTCTTGTGTTAGGATTATGTTAGCGTGAAAAATTTTTAGTGATATGTAAAACGTATCTTCCACAAATATATAGACATAACATAGATTGACTTTACTTCGATGAGTTTTCTTAGTTAGGAGAGAAAGACATAATCCGACGCAGGCAAAATGATAGCACACTTGAAAGATAAAGGTACAGTGAGTCACAGAAGTACTCGTACCTATTGTTGACTTTGAATTGATGCTATTTATTTATAATACATTTTAGAAAATTCTTATAATGGGCATTGTATAGTGGAATAACTGAGCTTTCAAAACACTATAAATTTTATTGTAAAAAAATATGTTAACATAACAAAAATCAAAGTCTAGCTAAAATTGAACAAAATTCGAGTTACAGAAGTATTCGTACTTTACAAGTTATAACAAACTGAGATTTTCGTAAACAAAACATTAATGTTTCCATTAGTTAATATTTAGTTGGTCCTCCTTTGTATCTTATTATACTTCTCAGACGATCCGGCATACTTTCAACTAATTTTTTTGTATATTCTTTTTCAATAGTATTCCAAATATCTATAATTTTTTCTTTTAATATTTCTTTATTCGTAATTTCAAACTTTTTTAATCTTCTTTCAATCTCTGTCCATAAATTCTCAATAGGGTTCACGTCGGGACTTTGGGGCGGTATTGATAAAACATGTGGAGTATTATATAAGGCCCATTGTTTAACAATATAAGCTGTGTGCTTCGAGTCATTGTCGTGTTGGAAATAATAATTACTTACCAATTGCAATTTTGTTGCACTTGATGACAAATGACCCCATAAAATGTTTAAATAATTCATCTTATCCATTATTCCGTCAATAAAAACTAGATTACCAACGCCATTGGCAGCCATGCAGCCCCATACCATGACAGAACCCCACCCGTGCTTGACAGTGCCTTTTAAATTTTTTAATTCAAACTCCCTGTTTTGTTTCCTCCATACCATGGTACGTCCATCTGAATTAAACAAGTTAAACTTGCTCTCATTTGAGAGCAAATCGTTGTAAATTGTCCTAAGTTTGGAAAAATATTTGAGACCTTCTTTAAAATTTCAAAGAAATTTTATCCGCTATACATATTTCGAATTTAAGTGTGTTCCACTATTTCCTCTGCCGTTTTCTCTTCATATTTGTAACTGTTGCTGTAAATTGTCCCAAACTTTCTATTTTGTCAGAGATATCAACGCAATATTGAATTTTGCTATGAACTTACGTAAATTTCCGATTTCTTGAAATATTGACGAATTTTGTCTAAATATTTTTAGTTTCTGAGTGTGTTCCGCAATTACCTTTGCCATTTTATCTTTATATACATACATAATTATCGCCGTATATTTTCCCAAACTTGCTATTTTGACAGAAATATTGACGAAATTTCCCAAAATGTTATATTTGGATATGTTCCGCTGTTTCGTCGCCTGTTTCAAGTCATATTCTGTTGTTTCTGTAAACCGACCTAGATTTGCGATTTTGGTAAAAATATCAAATTTTACCGAATTGTTTTGATCATGTTCCACCATTTCGATTACCGTTTTCTCTCCATACTCGTAATCATGGCTGTAAATTGACTTGCTATTTTTGACAAAAATGTCTACGAAAATAACCAAAATAACACTCGATAGTATCTTGTGGTTCTTTAGATATTCCCGCGTCAATAATTTTCAAATTAATTTATGTTACATGAGTAGCTCTGTCGAAGTCCCTTGGCATGCCACCTCCTTTCGTTGTATGTAGTTTTAATGCATACTCCTTTGTTTCAGGTAAAAGTAACACTTGCCTCTCGAAGTATTCACTCTTCAGAGTTTTTGAAAGAAGTTAGTGCCTTATGAGAATCCCTGTTCGTAGCAATTTGTCATGACAGTTCCTCGTGCAACAGGATCGCCCAATACATAATACGAAGTTTCAGCCGAACATACTTCCTAGTTCTCGACATATTTACACTTGCATATTTTTGAAAATAATTACTGCATCATAAGAATTCTTGCTCGCATTGATTCTTATGCCGGATCTTCGTGCTTCGATATTTTTAGATAAATTTCTGTTACATGAGAATTTCTGGAGTCAAAAACTACCGTACCATCTCCCTGAGGTCTATTCTGATACGTATCATGATGCTTCAGCAAAATATAATACCTCGTAATATTTTTCCTCAAAAGTCTTCAATATTTTTTGAAAACCTGTTGCCTCATGAGAACTCATGTTATTAGTTATTATTACTGTAAGTTGACTTGGACTTAGGATTCTAGAAGGAAAATTTCCGTAACTTAAAATATTTCAACAAATTTCCCAAATTATTTTGCCGAAATATTTTGAGTTACGGAATTATCTGCTACTTCGACACCCGTTTCCTCTTCATATTCGTTATTATCGTTGTAAATTAATCTAGACTTGCAGTTTGTAAGAAATATCAATAAATTTTTTAGATTTGCGGTACGTTTAAAATTTTGACACTTGATATTCGTTTTTACGTTTGTAAATTGACCTAGTCAACGCATTGACATCGAAAAAATAAAATAAAGTTATTCATTTGATCTTCAAAGTATATTTCTAAATGGATTAGAAAAAAAATATATATATGCATATTCCCAAATAAAATAGAGAAGAATAAAATATGTAAGTTATAAAAATGAGTATAAAGATGTGGATTAAATCATCTGCAAAATGAAATCAAAGATTAACACATTTTTTGATAGATGAAGAATATAAATTACACCTATGCACATATAAAAATTTGAGTACATCTGTAATGTAATGTAGTAATAGTAGATAATGGAATAGTTATGGAATAGAACAGGAGAAAAAAAAGGACTAGAATATCTATTCTATGATTTGAACAAAAAATTTACTGTATACTGTATATTAAAATCCTGTTTTTTCTAGGTGTTACTCTCAGGTGGCAAATTAATAAATTAGTTTTGAAACTGTTCAAGTTTGCAAAAAGTTTGCAGAAAGATTTAAAGTGGACGAAGTTAATACATTGAGTTCATATTCAATATGTGAAGAAAATAAGAAAAAAAAGGTAATGAAAATTGCACAGACGACGTTAGCAATGTAATATATTTAGTAAATAAAACACATCTATATAGTGTAACTTGTGCAATAAGTCATGTTAATAAATACTTAAATAAAAGAGAATATTTAGATGTGATATTTAGATAGATTATGATACAAAACATTACAAAAAGAAAAAAAAATAAAATGAAAATATAAAAGAATTAATTTATTATTGTTGATTAATTGAAATTTGAAAAAATAATAAATTTCTTTTGAATACGAAGCTGAATTATATTTTTAAAAATCCTGTTAGAATTAATAGGAAAAAAGTTACATATTAAATTAAATATTAATAATCAAAGTACAAGTTATTCAAATTAAAAAATATATAGAAGATATGATAAATATGAAAATGAAATGTTAAGTGTAATTTATAACAGATAAACAAATTGCTGATATCTTTAAATTATAATATGTTTAAGAAATTTAGAAATAGTTTAGTTATACGAAATTAATAAAATTGTAAAATTACAAAAATTAAGAGAATAATCTTAATATCAGTAATAATAAATTTATAAATATTTAGTGTGAAAGAAATAAATACGTGAAATAATCATAAACAAATCCAGGATTATTTTATTATACAAAAAATTTGGATAACTATCTAGAGAAGAGGACTTCTCAACGATTTTAATGGCCTTATATTTCAAGGAATAAGCAAAATATGTTTTATAATTTAAGTAAAATAAAATTCTCCAAGTATAAAATAAACTCAATTTTATCAAACGCAGCAATTATTAGTATTTGTGTATATTTATGAATTTGTTTTGAATTTTTAATATTAATAAGATGATGTATTATTTATATACATGATAAAGTGATAAAGATTAATTTTAAAATAATTATTTTCAAACATTTGTAAATGTGAAGTAAATGATACTTTAATTGATATTAAACTTATATATATTATAATAATTTATTGATACTATTTGTACAGAGATATACTTATTTAAATATCAAAAATTCAAGAGCGTGTAGAGGGTCGATAATCCTTTAATTTAAAAAATTCTTTAGAGATTCGCTTATTTTTATTGCATTTTGGAGAAAATCATAAAAAAACGAAATAAAAAAGTTTTCATTTTTTCACTTATTTAATAGGTTTATTTGATATTAATTAACTCAAGAGAGCAACTAAGAGGGCAAATCGTAGCACCAAAAATAAAAAAAAAGCTACAAATCAAAGCTAAAGTCAAAGTGGTCAATATTCTTACATTGTTGCTACAAAAGCAAACATTTTGAATATCTTCATTAAATAGATAATATAGATGATAATAGGTGATTTACAATTTATAATGGTAATACGAGTGATACGGAAGATGATGATAGAGATGATAACAGAATAAGTGCAAAAAAATTTCATTCTTTTTTTCACAATTTTCTCCAAAATAGAACGGAAACTAGCTAATCTCTACAGAATTTTTTTTCTTATAATTAGTTTATCGGTCTCCTAAACACTTTCAAAGTTCTGACACTTAAATTCATGACGTCCTATATGATATTATTACCTATATCATATCTACTTAATTAATAATATTAATTAATAATATTAATTATAACATACATAATATCAATATATTATCTATATGAAAAGAACGGAGAAAGATTTTTATTTATGCTTGTTTACATATTACATAATTTTTATACTGTTCTTTCAAATTATGTTTAGAACAAGTATAAAATTCTTTCAAATTATATATTAGATCTCTCCTTCATAAGTATTTTTTACTTCTTTTTCAGAAACGGAATGTCAAATTTCATATCTCAATACATATAGCACTGTTCGCTTAGTTACGGCTAGTAAGAGAATTATTACTCCAGTTATCCAAACAATTATATTTCTTTTATGACTAGCTTACCTTTGAATAAATTTATAATTGTATAAAATATGAAAAAAATAACATTAAATGAGAGTGAGATATGGAAGAAAAAGTTTATTTATCATACCAATAATTATAGCTCAGATCAAGGTACTGTGTTAGCAAATATATGGAGCTGTAATCAATCAAACAGAAATCGCTATAACTAAGCACTGTTAGTTGATAATCATTAAATAATAATTATAACTCATATAATAAGCTTTCTATATATCATAGTATGGATTTTCCTATTAGGTATAAGCATAGATATAGCTGAAGCACAAATATATGAATCATTATTGTTATTAGTTTTCCAATGTTTATTTACTTACATTACATATAAGATAAAGTCTTCGTGTAATAAAAAAATGAAATAAATTGCCTTTTCCTAACACTACAGCATTCTATAAATGATGGAACTTATACCAATGAAACATTACAGTCAATTAAACAAATTGCTTTCTATATATGTTATACATTAAGAATAATAATTTATATTTAAATATTGAGAAGTAAAATAATTAATATGTATTTTTATCTTACTTCAAAATGCATTGAAAGATAAACATTCAATGGCAAAATTTTTGGAATTATTATATGTGTACATATTTATCAAAATATTACTCAATAATATTAACACTTTGAGTGCTACGTCTCCCAGAAATGGGAGACGCACAATTTACCGCAGAGACCCTGTCTCTCTCTCTCTCTCTCTCTGGGAGACGAAATTATTTATTCAAATAGGAACAATTTTCGTACTTACTTACTTTTTGTTACTTATTTATAAACATATTGAATTTAAATAATGAAGTCTTAATTTGTAGATAATAAATATATATTTTTTATTATATCAATGAAATATATTTATAAATACAAACTTTCGGCACTCAAAGTATTAATAATGATGTTGCTATCAAGTGATGATAAATGATTCTTTTACAAATCAACATTGCATTTTAGGTATAATTAAATTTCATTATAATTTTCAAGTGTTACATAATATTTTTGTGAAAAATAACTTTGATTTTTGGTTCCAACGATGCAAAATATCTACAAAATAATAAATTTGAACTAAAAATTTTGCTTTCCAAATACTGTAATACCAACTAACATTTTTTTAACATTTCAATAGTTTAATTCATGAATAAAGAATTTATTCATCTAAAAAAAGAATGCGTTTGAATTTATACAGTTTACTTTAAAATTCAAATAAAATTACGTATTAATACGTAACGCTAAATTATAAAAAAATACGCTTACTGCATATTATACAAGTTACATGTAAATACATATATTTATTTTGAATAAAGTATGAGATTATTATAGGGAGAAACAATATAATGAGGTTGTAAAATCTGTTAAAGTTTATAATTTTTCAGCGAACAATTAAATAAAATTATCAACTGAATAAGTCATAGCTGGAAATATTTCAAATATACGTAGGCACTTGCGATATTTTTTTGAAATCAATTTTTTTTATTGTTAGTAATTCACAGATGAGTCATAAAACCGAGTTATATTAATTCTTCCTTACAATAAAACAATTATTTTTAAGAGTACTAAGTTGAAAAAATTGTGTTAAAAAGCGTCAAAAATCGTACATTTTAAGCACTAAAAGATTTTACAATTTCACTGTATCACTTGTACCTTTTATACGTATCTAATTTATATAGTTACTTTATGTAGCTACTTCATGTAGAATTCAATTTAATATGGACGTCAAGATGCTATTTTTAACAGCGACAATTTGAAAAGATTTATAACTTAATTATTAATAGTACTTCTGTCTTATAATCAAAAAATTATAATACTTGATTATAGTTTTTATAAAATCTCATATAGTTGAACTACTTGATAACGGTTGCATAGGATAATAATCCGAAGTAACTGAATTATTATCTAAGATAAATCTAAAAATTCATACAGTCTTCATATAATCTTCAGTTATCGTCAGCATCATCGTCATCATCTGATATATATTTTTTAGTGACTCTTTTCCTCCGACCTCCTCTACCTTCACCTTTTCTTCCTTTTAATTTGATTTTCATTCTAACACTAGAATCTGCATCTGATCCTTCTTCACCTTCACCTTATAAAATTTCATACATATAAAATCATTTTATCACTATTATATTAAATTATAATAATATGAAGTACCTTTATCATCCATGTCAGAGTTATTGCCTTCCTCTTCGATACGTTGACGTGCATTTGTAAAAACAGATTGTAGAACAATAGAATCTTCGTGTATGAGAGAAGCTTCTTCATTATAAATTTGCGCGTTTTTACAAAGCTGCATGAAATCCTTCTCAAGGTCATCAAAGTCGGCATACTATAACAGTATAAATACAAATTATAAATTTAGAAATATAAATACAAATATAAACTTTCTAAGATATAATTACAATAATATAAAATAAAGTAACAAATAAAAACTCTATAATTGTTTGGAAATACATCAGTTATAAATGCGCTATTATATAAACCGACAACGAACAAAAAAATAAAAATCTCTGACTTTAGAATGGAACTGGCAATGCATCTCATGCACACAGTGCCATAATATAGAAGCACTAAACCATCAAATATATCTATTCTAAGAAGATTACGGCATGAAATGAGAGAAGGAAGGGCTGGCATACCTAATTTGAAAATATTACAGTGTTACCAAAAAAATTTTGCAAATTTTGGAACAAAGATTACTTAGACCAAAAATCGGACCAAAAAGATTACCACATACTGCTCAGATTGTATTGACCAGCTAGAGCTATGTTTGAATGCTTTAATACAATACACCGGTAGATAGAAGATTTGATAAAAATTAATCTTTTATTTTTGATTTTCTAATAAAAATTTTTAAGTGTTGAATAGTGCACATTTTATTTACAAAGTATTCTTTAATTAGCGATGATGTTCAAAATGCATTAACTGTCAATGTTCGTTCAACTTTTACAATTACAATTAGGAACATTTGAAGTCACCAATGACTATTGTGGCGCTACAGAAGAAACAATCTGCACACGGTCATACATGACTACCGTGGCGGTCAACGTGTTAGTTCTCACGATTTTTTAGATATTTTCGATCATCTGATAAAAAAAAGTCTCAAACAAAAGTTAAATTTTTCAGTTGACTACAAATTGCAATTTCAATTTCAATTCTTCTTTTCAATTCTCAACACAAAATTTCCAAAAAAAATTTTCATTCGACCAAGACAGTCAAATCTTAACTTTTTTAAATGACATTATGTATTCCTGACTTCACACTGTTGTAGTTGATGCGAAGACGAATTCAACAATTTATTATATTACATTTTTATTATAATCTTAAATTCAAATTTAGAGATTATTATCTCTATGATTTCTTAGATGATTTGATATTAATTTGATATATATATAAAATATAAATAATTTATATTTACCTTTCCTTCCTCAATCTTTTGAAGTAATTTATTAATAGTTAATGGTTTTTTAATAATTTCATAATAATCTGGTAATTCTCTTCTAGATGGCAATTTCATAAATGGTTCGCTAAGGAGCCTGCCATCTGTACTATCAGTGTAATTAACAACCACCATTAGCAACTTTTTCATAGCTCTTTTCATTTTTGGATCAATTGATGACCCTGTTCCTCTTCGTTTCTTGGGCATGGGTTCGTCATCTTCTTCACCTTTTTTCTTTCGTTTTCGTGTTTTCTTTTTCTTTTTGTCGTCTTCCTCTTCTTCTTCATATTCAGCTCCATCATCATCGATTGCTTTAAGCCATTCTTTTTCAGTCAAACTATCAGTATAATCAACTTCTTTTCGTTGTCTTGAACCCCGTCCAAGGAATCTATCTTCATCTTCTTCATACGTCCATCTTTCAACTTCATCATCATCTTTAACCAACCAATCGGGTAACTCAGCTTCCTCTAATAATCGAGATTTTCTATTTGGTCCCAATTTCGCTTCTTCTCTTCTTCGTTCTAAATCTAGTTTCTGAAATATTTCAAATTCACCTTCTGTTCGTGCAATCATTTGATTAACTGTTTCATCATCTGGTACTTCATTTTCTTCCTCATCTTCAGCATCATCTTGATGTAAAATACTTTGCAAAAATTGTTGTCGTTCAGAGCCAGTGGATTTCTGATCGAACATTCCGGCTTGTATAACTTTTTCATCCATGTTCAACTTATATCTGGCAGCAGCTAATATTCTTTCTTCAACAGAATTAACTGTCATCAACCTAAGTACGCGTACTTCATTTTTTTGACCAATTCTGTGTGCTCTATCTTGCGCTTGTAGGTCTTGATGCGGATTCCAATCGGAATCAAAAATAATAACGGTATCTGCAGCTTGCAAATTTAATCCAAGACCACCAGCACGCGTTGATAATAAAAATAAGAAATATTCGGAACCAGGATCGTTGAATTTTTTCAGTAAGTCTCCTCGATCTTCAGCTTTTGTAGTACCGTCTAACCGTAAATACATAAAACCTCTCCAACTCAAATAATCTTCCATAATTGTCATTAACTGTGTCATTTGACAGAATAATAGTACTCTGTGATTTGTTGCTTTCAATTTCGGAAGAATCCGATCTAATAGTTCAAATTTTCCAGATGCACGGTACAAATCGGGACCAGTAATGACACCAGATCCTTGCGTGCCTACATGCTCGCAATATTTTTCTTCAATAGCTTGAAACATGAATGGATGATTGCACAATTTTCTCAATTGCACAATGGTGTTCATCAAAGCTTTGGCACCTCCTTTACCTTGTTTTCCCTTTTCAGAACCATCAGTTAACAATACACCTTTACTTTGCATATGTTTATAAAGAACCTTTTGTAGTCCAGACATATCACATTTGATAATATATTCCACTTTGTCAGGTAATTGTGACTCAACCTCTTTCTTTAAACGTCTCAACAAGAAAGGTCGTAATACTTTATGCAATCGACGAATAATAAGAATAGTTTCCTCTTCATTTAGTTCGACCTTTTCACCAGTAGTTGCAAATGGAGCATTAAACCATTGCTCAAAAGTACTACAAGATTTGAAGATTGAAGGAAGTAAGAAATTTAGTAACGCCCACAATTCAGGTAATTTATTTTGTAATGGTGTTCCTGTCAATAAAAGTCGATGAGGAGCCAAATAATGGGTATTTAACACTTGAGTTAATTTACAATGGTGATTTTTCATTCTATGACCTTCATCAATAATCATATATTTCCACTGTAACTTTGCTAAAACGCCTTTGTCTTTAATAACATATTCGTACGTAGTAAGCAAAACATTGAATTTAGTAGCTCTCATTTGAGATTGAATAGCTCTTCTACCAGCTGGTGAACCTTTATAAGATACAACTACCACACTGGGAGCCCACTTTTCAAATTCCAATACCCAATTTGACAGTGTTCTGAAAGAAAATATGTTCTACTCACAATATCATTACATTATATGATAGACATAATTTTTATACTTTTTTCATTTTTCATTTAAAACAATTAATGAAAATAATACATACGATAAAGGAACAATTATAAGAAATGGCCCATTCACTTTTTTCTTCTCCATAAGATAAGTCACCAAAGCTATTGTTTGAATAGTTTTACCAAGACCCATTTCATCCGCAAGTATACCGTTAAGATTATTGTTAAATAATGAAACTAACCACTCCAAACCCTAAAATCAAATTTTATAATGTATATTTTAAAAATAGCTTCGCATGTAAAATATATTAATATTAATATTAAACCTTTATTTGATATTCTTTCAATTTTCCATTGACCATTATAGATGCCTGTTCTGTTACTACTTCATGTACAGTATGTGCAATACTGTAATATGTCTGTTCTTCAGTTTTATATTCATCATCTTCTACTTTGGCTTTATGTATTGTTTTTTTAACCTTTTCTTCTTCTGAATCACCGGTAGATTTTTCTTTATGTTCTCCCTTTTCTTCACCTTCATTTTCTTCTTCTTCTTCATCTTCATCGTCTTCACTTTCTGATTCGATTGGTTCCCAACCTGGATGAGATTCCAAAAATGTTGAAAGTTGACTCATTAAAGGAGCTTCTTCACCAGTCAATGTGCGACCAGTAGCTGTTTCAATTACTCCAACACGAGTATCCTCATTAGCATTTCCATCTTCGCCTCCTTCACCATCTTGTAGCTTCTTTTTTTTCTATTTCAGTGATAGTACATAATATAATAAATTGATTAATTATAATTGCAGAAACTAGTTTTTTCTTACCTTTTTCCGTTTTTGTTCTTCTACTTGCTTTCTTTTTTGTTCTATTTTATGTTGTTTTACCATTTCGGTAAGGTTACTGATATATTCATCTGTCTGTGACAACAGGAACGCTAACCGTTTATCTTTCTTTTGATCAATCAGCTTTCTATAACCTTCTTCGTCTTCTGCCATGAGACGTCTCATACGTTCTTTTTCAATACGTTCCTGCTCTTTCTTTTGTTCTCTTTCAGCATTTGCATGATAATTGAGAACAGCTTTGTTGAGTCTAGCCAATTTAGCCACATTATTTCGATGAAATTCTTTGAAATCTTTGCCATGTTGAAGTACAGAACTAAGAAATTCCTTTTAAAATAGAAATGAAAATTACATATCATTTTTATTAATAATAATTTTAATAAAAAATTAAAAATCTAATTACTTGATGTTTTTGTCTGCGTTTACGTTCAGCTTCTAACTTTTGTTGCTTTTCAAGTTTCTCGGTAGCTCTAGCTTCACGAAGACCTTGTCTTTTCGTACGCTTATAAGCTTTTACATTCACTGCAGTTTCTAAAGTAGTATCTTTTCGAGTGCACGCTAAAATCTAGAAATAACAATAGTTATAATTAATAAAAGAAACATTTTTGTAACAATAAAATGATATTATTAATGTTTGTTTTGATTACCTCTGATCGTAGTTGTCTTTGGAAATTCAACACCCTAAGCATTCGCAATTCAATTTGTGCTTGGATACGAAGATCTTCTGGCATATTGGTTGGTAAATTACTCAATTGTTCCATCCGTAACGCTATGCGTGCTGCAACTCTATAATTGTACATTTATAATTTTAAAATATCAAAAAAATATTTTCAATTATAAATATAGAGTTTTAATTATGTGCCTTATGCGTTTATTTTATTAATATCAATTATAAAAATGAATATTTAAATTGCTGCATGAAATATAAAAAATATATATGATTAATATTTAAATTTTTAGAATTCAAATTATATTTTATAAAATTTTTTATACATTTCTGATTGTGAGACACTCATAATGTTTCTAAAACTAAGTATACACTAAAAGTGAAAGTACGTAAGTTACTAACAGTAAATATAGTAAGTAAAATTCAATTTATTTGCAAACACAAAACATACAGTTAATAACAGCAACAAATAATAAGATAAACAGTCACAAGTTCTAAGTCATTTACAAGTTCGTATAAAGTCCACGTAAATGGACAAAACTCACAAATACTTTGAGTAATCATTAAATTCTCTTTTCCAACGAAAATACTTTTATAAATATTCTTGGAGCAACGAACTGTCTATGCATATGAACTTTCTAAATTTTTAAGTTTTCACCTATGTTCATTCATGTCTTATTATCATGAGTAAAGATTCCAAGTTAAACCAGTGAAGTTCTAAGTACTCGTATGCCTAGTGAGCGAAAATTAAAAATTATAAATAATAAAAATACGTCAAAATACATCAAGGGGTTAATTACAGAAGAAAAAAAAAAAAATGTACCCAGGAACAGTGCAGAGTATGCTGCATCAAAAAATGTACTTTCTAGACAAAAGGTATTAATACCCGACCTCCCTTTCGACGTCAGTCTGCCAGTATTAATACCTTTCTCGCCGATAGTGTGATAAGACGTTATATATCTAGAAAATATCAAATGCATATTGATGAGGAACATATTCAATTGTATACATTCGATAAACACTTACTGAAATTGACGCTTGTTATCAATATTTATAAAAATAGCCGATACATTATTAAATAAAAATAGTCGTTATTCACATCACTGAATTCGTTTTAAAAAGCATAGTAAATTAGCAATAATAAAAGTACATTAAATAAAAGTACATACAAAAAGTTCATAATAAAAGTTCTATTAAAAAAAAAATATTGCCATTAAAATCTTTATAATTAAAATATTTAAAAAAAAATCTTATTAAATTTTCTCTATAAAGTCAAATATCTTCCATATATTATATAGTAATAGTGTATATAATAGTTATATAGTAATATTGAATACAAATAAAGCGAACATACTGTGTAGCATAAATCTAAAATCATACTCTTTTTAATATTAATATAAATCTTTCTTTGTACATTTTTTTAGTAAATTTAATATATTTAATTATGCGGCATTTTAATTAATGAAACCTGCACATCGCTTTCTCGACATATGAGAAAAAATGTACTTTTTTCTCACATTGATACTGGTATAATTTATCCCTTAGCGCTCCGCGCATTTCTCGACCACTACCTATCAACAACTCCGGCACATTTTTGCAGCGGAGCGTCAGAAAGCGTGAAAAAAAGGAAGTCTTATTTTGAGTTGAAAAAATTACACGTGCTTATGAATGCATTTGATTTTGTAAATATACATTTTTCTCTTGTAAATAAAACAAATTTTAAATTTTGTAATTCACCATGGTGTGATATCTTTGGAAACCGTCTCCCATGTACATTCTAGGTTTACTTGGGCACAGTAATCATCTGTTTGACGTCTGCCACTTTTTTTTTTCTTCTTAAGAGTTGAGCGACTAAAATTTTTCGATATCGTAAATGCGTCAGTGTTTTTTTATTTTTGTTTTGTTGTACAGTTTTATACAAAATGTATGAATTTATGATACATATCTCTAGTCCTTAGAAAAATAGTTTTCGCCAACACTTAAGTGATTTCCTCAAAAAACAATAACTGGAGGCATATTGATCAGCCCGATCAACACCGTCCCCATTGACTTTGTGTACCCGACAACTACACTTGGCTTTTCAATTACTTCTTCTATACCTCGTTTAAATCTTTTATTGGTTATCATTCCAGTATTATGCCAATTGCTCAATAATGATACTGTTCTCTTATCCCTCCAAGTTAAGAGCTTTCATTTTATAACCCACGAGTATTCTTGCACATTTGCCAGAGTTATTATACCCATGTTAACGATAATTCCGATAAAAGTCCAAAATTCATCCCTTTCCACATCACGCCGAGATTTGCCAAATAGAATATTTCTTTCATTTTTAGAACATTTTCTGCGTAATTGTTGTTTTCTTTTATAATTTCATTTACTAATTCTTTAAAAAACAATTTAAAATATTGTATCAATTGTACAATATTTGAAGAAACTTGTGGTCCAATGACTTTTGGCGATACACTAAAATGTATTCTTTCTGGAATATCTAATTCCTCTGTAACTTCACGCCATTCATCTAAATTTTCTAACGAATCCTCACTTTCACTTTCAATAATTCTCATTCTTTATCTCTTCCGTGGTATAATATCGCTACTACTTGAGGTATCAGAATCATAATCAACATTCTCTTTAGATGTTAAGATATTTAAATTATCTTTAAATACTTCAAAATCAAATACGCCTTCACAATCACTCAGCTTTAAATTCTCATCACGACATTCATTATTCTCTATGTTAAGGAAAGTCTCGAATGACTGATGTCACGAGCGATGAACTAGCGATGGCAAGATATTGACACGAGAAACTGACTTAGAGATCTGATGATCCTGAAAAGTTGCAAAAAACTGCATCGCTCTAACCGTGTTAGAATATTTGCAATTACTTTATGGGCCTAATTATTGCCCAGGGATTACATCATATTTTATGTATTTTGTTGTTCTTGGTTGTAAGGCCAAGACGTGCTCCATCTATTCTTAGCCTTAATATTCCATATTTTTAACCATAAAAAAAAATAAAATAATTTAACTTCAATATTACAGACATAGCACGTTTACAGACGCAATATTACAGACGTAGCACTACAGATAAAAATTGCCAATGCCAACAATGACAAAAAGAAATCATGTTAAAAAGAAATGTCCCCGTAGCGGAGCCAACGGAGTGCTGGGTTATACCATTCTTTAACGAATTCAATAATTACCTATTTTCACGTTCTTGCAGAACTAATAGCGGATCTAGACCAGCAGGTTTTGCCACACTTGTCACTCTGTTAGTTTTTGCACCTGGTTGAGGAGGTTGTTGTTGTTGTTGTGGTGTTTGACAACCTGGTCGTGGAGGAACTGCAGGACCAATTACGTTCGGTCCAGAGATTTGTGGACCTGTAGTAGTAGGAGGTCCTTGAGATGGATCTATAGGAGTACGCTGTCCCATACCTGGAGGAGGAGGTGCTCCACCTATTTACATTAATCTTACATCAGATACTCAATGTAGATTATTCTATTCTATTTTTGAATTTTCACAATACAATAAAATTCAAAATATATCTAATTATACATAAAAGTTATTTATATTAGCCATTCCTTTCAAACAAATTACTAAATATAAAATTTCTAAGATACAAAACAAAAAAAAGAGAATATTTCTAAGATACAAAACAAAAAAAAAGAGAATATTTCTAAGATACAAAACAAAAAAAAAAAAAAAAGAGAGGATCATACAAATGATTTTTCAGTAATCATCCACCTTACTAATTTTCATGATCTTTAAATACGACGTAAAGACCAACATTTTGGACAATTTTCTTTTCTATAGGTATATGCTCGTAAATAAATATAACTCAAACCTAAGAGACATAATCGCTTCAAAGTAAACATGTCATCAAAGTAAACATGTCATCAAAATAAAAATGTCTTACGCTTTTTCATGAATGTATCAAAAACTAAAGACGAGCGGAAGTTATGGAAAAAAAAGTTGTTCAAAATGTTAATTTCTACAACATTTTTGAAAATCGAATGTACTTCTAAATAATTGTCAAACATTAATATCTACTCAAACTCTGACATTTTTGATATTTCTAAGTTGTGTATTTGCATTTTTAAATACAAAAGATAGAGTAGTATCTAAAACACAAAACTTATAAAGCTTTGTTCTTCATTTACCTTGAACAGCAAGTGCGAGTTGTTGAGATAACGGTTGATTTCGTGCTAATAATCGATATGCCATTATCTGTACACTGCAAATAATTATATATAAAACATTAATATTTTTAGATCACTCTTACAATTAATTACATATATAATCATAAAATTAATAAATATACCGTAATTGCTGTAATTGTTGTGAACTAAAAGCTTGTTTCTCTCCCATGCTACCTTGGCGAGCTCGTAAAGCCAGTAGCTGAGAATAGCGCGGATCTTCTTGAAGTCCCTTTTCTTCCATAGAATCAATAGCTTTCTGTAAAGCATTCAAGTTCTCTTGTCCTGCACCAGGTGGACCTCCAGGTCCAGTAGGACCAATTTGACCAGGACCAGTTTGACTCATTTGATTTACGGGTGCGCCAGGTCCGATTGGTACTGGATTTCCAGGCACAATTTGTTGACTTTGTGAACCAATTTGACCAGAAGCTGATTGTCCAGTTGGTCCCATTTGATTGCTCGTGCCACTATGACTTAGCTGATTATTTGGTCCACCTGGTCCTATTTGATTACCAGGACCAGCAGGTCCCATTTGATTACCAGGACCACCAGGTCCCATTTGGTTTCCAGGACCACTTGGTGGTATTTGCACCCCTGGAACACCTACAACCATTTGCCCCCCAGGACCATTAGGCCCTATTTGTCCACCTGGGCCACTTCCAGGCCCCATTTGATTATTCGAACTATTTCCTGGACCCATTTGTCCTCCAGGCAAAATACCTGATCCCATTTGAGTACTAGGTCCACTTCCTGGGCCCATTTGACCTCCTGGTCCATTTCCTGGACCTATTTGTCCACTAGGTCCACTTCCTGGCGTCATCGGATTTCCAGAAGTATTTCCAGATCCTATTTGATTTCCACTAGCAGTTCCTGGTCCTATTTGTCCTCCAGGACTATTTCCTGGCCCTAATTGACCTCCAGGTCCACTACTCGATATCATTTGTGCATTAGGACCACCACCAGGACCCATAGGTCCTCCAGGTCCATTACCTGGAGGCATTTGTCCTCCAGGACCATTACCCGGTCCCATTTGTCCGAGATTATTTGGTCCTAATTGACCTCCAGGTCCACTACCCGGAACCATTTGGCCACCTGGTCCTCCTGGACCTAACTGACTTCCAGGTCCTCCCATTCCCATTGGCGACGAGGCAGTTCCCATGTTTATTTGTCCAGAACCATTTGGACCCATTGGTGACGGTCCATTATGCCCCATTTGTCCAGGCCCATTTGGTCCAATTTGTCCTCCTTGCCCTACGGAACCCATGGGACTAGGACCCATAGGAGCTTGATTACTAGGGACCATTTGATTTTGAACTCCAGGACCTATTTGATTTGGTGCTCCCGGTCCCAAGTTGTGTGTAGTAGATCCACCTGGAGGCATTTGACCTGGTCCTCCAGGACCTAAATGATTTCCTGGTCCACTCATATGTCCAGTTCCTGGTGGACCATTTGCATTCATATGACTTGGCATGGGTGATCCACTATTTAAATGACTTCCAGGCGGACCAGCAGTATTCATGTGAGTTGAACCTGGTGGTCCCGTATTTATATGCCCAGATCCTGTTGGACCACTTGTGTTAACATGTCCTGATCCTTGTGGACCGTTATTATTCAAATGTCCTTGTCCAGGTGGACCAGCTGAACTCATATGTGCTGGTCCTGATGATCCGGTTGCATTTATATGACTTGGTCCTGGCGGTCCGTTTGAATTCATATGGCCAGCTCCTGGCGGACCACTCATATGTCCCGGTCCTCCTGGTACCATTTGCGAAGGTCCTCCAGAAACTATTTGTGGCACAGGTCCATTTCCTGGACCCATTTGCGGAGGAGTCTGATTCATATGAGGACCTCCTGGTGGTCCTCCAGCTTGTCCCATATGACTTGGTCCAATTGGTCCTGGCCCCCCTGGCCCCATTTGACCAGGACCTCCTGGACCTAGGCTTGGACCTACCGGACCTATTTGACCAGATCCTCCAGCACTAATTTGTCCCGGTCCATTTGTATTCATTTGATGTGGACCAGACTGCATCATGTGAGATCCATTCGGTCCCATTTGGCCTGGTACCATAGGTCCTGGAGCTTGCTGAGAATTAGAATTTTGACTGACTGGCAAACCAGGCCCACTTTGATTCTATAACATCGAAAATAATATGTTTCTTTTTCAATTTTCGTACATATGAATATTCGTGCTCCAAAATATTATGCTGCAAAAATGCGAATAATAACAATAATTACGTGATATATATACATATGCCTATATCAAGCTCATCAAATTTTAAAATACATCTAACAATCATACGCTTTCATTATTTGAATAAATATTTTTATTTATATTAATATTTAGCAATAAAAATTATGTATGTATGACATCCGTGGTGAAAATGTTAAGAAATATAATTTCTCATACAAAGAAGCATGATGAAGCATGATAATTAGTAGTTAGTAATCAGACCGTTAAATCGACAAAAGTATCCAAATAATGTGTAATTAACCATCATATCGGGATGTACCTGCACCAGACCCCCACGTGAGTAATCCCGGGTTAAAAATATTAAATCTGGATTCGTCACAAAACAATATAGTATCCCAAAAATCAGTTTTTTTCGTAATATAATCTTTAGCAAATTGTAATCTCTGTTTCTTATTAATTTTACTAATTGTTGGTTTCCGCCTCGCAATTTGCGATCGGTACCCGACATTTCTCAATACTCGACGAATAATTATAGGATGGACACACTTATGGTCACACTTGGTTATGATTGCTATTATTTCCGACGATGTGCTGTGTGTTTTTTTTTTTTTCGCGGTGTTAATGATTTCTCTTTTTTCTCGCACACTTAATTTCTAGGGAGCTCATACACACCTAATTTCTAGGGAGATCAAGATGGATAATAAAATAAATATATGGATTGACAAAAAAAAATACTACGCAGCCAATAATTTTGTTTATTGATAAACTTAACAAAAAGAATTATGTAATTAAATAAGAATTATGTAATCTGCTAACATAAATTTACTCAAAATTAAAAATAAATAAAAACAGACTGTTAAAAAATAATTAAATAAAGAAGAAAATATAAATATTTGTATAATAAAAATAAACTTTTTATCTTTATTACAAAATGTTATATGTTAAATTGAGTGTCAAGTGACACTAAAAAATTCTATATAAAAAAAAAATGGAAATGTGCAACATTTTCGTTTGATCCAAATTTAATAGATTATATTAAAAACTATCACGAGAAGTTATTTGGAAATAACACTATGAATATGCTAAGTCAAAAATTGAAAAAGAAAGGCAGAAGTTTTATCAACCGAAATAAATAATATATATATGAAAATACAAATATAGACATAATATTATCAAAATTAAAAAAATTTCACAAATTTTCGAATCAAAACAAATTAATTATATTAATAACATAAAGGAAAATAATACATTAATTGTAAACAAAGTTGAGACACAATCAGTTTAAATGTAACTTTAGACAAATTTGAATTCAATAAAATTTCTATTTCTCGATAATTTTTCACAGTTAAATATCAATTATACTGCATACTACATAAATCTATAAAACACAACCTATAAAACACAAAATATTTGAATCAAAAAGTGATAAAAAAAAAAATTAAAATTGATTGAAAAAAGAAATCAAGATTGTACAAGCTTGATCCAGAATGAAAACATTAGTGGCGTGAAGATCACATAAGAGACGAAGTTAAAAAAGAAAACAAGAAATAAAATAATAATAGTCAAAATTACACAAGATTAAGCCTGGAATTATATCGATCATATTACATGAGGAGAAGGAAGAAGGAAAAAACTGAAAATATGATAGAAAAATGAAGCATTTGTTTTTTCCAAACTTTGACAATAAATAAGGTAAAAGAAAAGGTGCTACTGCTTTAAAAATGTGTTAGCTGCAACATCTTCCGTAGAATATTGTCTTTTTCTGCAGCAAAAAGAGCTAAAGAAAAAAAAGGAAAAAGAAATTGTTCAGAATAAAATTGAAAAAAAAAAAACTGAAAGCAAAGTGATTGAAAAGAAAGATGAAAATGTTACAGCAGATGCTGAAAACAAATAAAAATGTGGAATATACAATGATTTATATAGTGATGCCGAAAATGAAAAGAGTGTAAGTTGTGACAAATGTTTTATATGATATAATTTAAAATAAATTCACAGACTAAATTTATACAAAAATTTATAATAAACCATTTATTTGTTCTCTATGTTCCTAATAAACTTTAATATTCTAGAAAAAGGGTTTCTATCGTATAGAAAAAAAGTTTAATACATTTTTTTCACTTATCTTCTGAAAATAAAAATTTATGTTTCGTTTTGTGATAATCTGATCAATTTTAATTCCTATATATCTAAGTACATAGATGGGCCGGAGGTAATGACTGATTCCCTCTTTTCGACCGCTTCTAGCTTCCGTGCGACTTAGGCCATCACTGATCACAAACATTCATTACAGTGGACATGCCAGCGTTAGTACCTAATTGAACTTTATCTACTGTAATCAGTCATTTGACCGATCGACAAATTAACGCTCTTTTATAAAATTACTGAATCTAAATTTTAGTTCTAAATAGAACTAAAGATAGCTGTAAATGAAACTATAAATGAAAACTTTGAAATATGTTCTGTTTCTGATCAGCAATACTACAAAAATTGTTACATTATCTGAAGGTGTCATTATTAGATGTGATAAGTAACCGACTTTCAGCTAACTTCTAAAATAATCTAAAATAAAATAAAATACCCTAAAATTCTTAGAATATGCTATCTATGACGAATATTTTTGCAACATTATAAACAGTAATAAAGACAGTATCATGAAAATCAGATGACAGTATTATTTTGAAAGCCTTAGAGAAAACAATGAAGTGTAAAAGTAATCAAGTTAGAAAAAGAGTGAAGAAATTTTATTTACTCAGCATCTAATTTTATGCATTATATTTTATACTGTTTTCTTTTATTTTTGATTCTGATTTTCTTTTATTATGACTGTATTATGACTGTATTTCTTTTATTATGATTGTATTTCAAATATGACAACTCGTTCAACAAAAAAGTTATTGAAAGAGATAACTAACTCTCTAACATAAAACAATCTAAAGGCACATCTTTAGAACACCTGGAAGAAAAAGCAACTCACATACGAAAGAGTGAGTTCTGTTTGCCGTTTAGATTTTCTACGATTTTCTACGGATTTTCTACAGAAGTTAAGAAACGTGCCCATCGATGTCGTATCGTATTTAAAAAAATGACGAAATTTACGTCAGGGTAACACATTTGACCTTTTGAAAAAACTAAATTAATTTCGAAAAAAAGTACGTATTACCTACGTACATATGTTACGCAGATGGTTGATGGAAACTCAAAAATAACTTTCTCTTGTCATAGATTTGTCTCTCTGACGATTTGTACAGAATGGTTGGCAATTTTCTACAAAAAATGACAATTAATTGCAATGCAAATAAAATATTAATGTAAATAAAATATTAAGATATTAGAAAAGGAAAAGGAGACAATGATTAAATGTTTTCATAAAGCCGATAGTAAATTTGACGACGCTTATAGACGTACACTTTGTTTATTTTTATCAGTTTTTTTATTTTATTTTATTTATATTAGCGGATAGCAGATGTCGGAGAAAGTCGTTTTCTCAGACATGCAATTAGGAGAATTTACGACTCACATGTCGCCTATGCTATTGAATTGTGAAGGCCAAGTTTATTTCTTAAAGACATCTGCACTCGAAGTTTTTAGTAATTCGGCCACAATAGTATTTCCGCGAAGCATCGTAAACCCTAAGTTTCCAAGGGCCAATCCAGACTTACGTTTGGAAAACACTTGGAGAGAAAACCCTGCTACACCGCCATAAATTAGGAAAATCGCGAAATTGCAATCCCACTCTCAGAAAAAGCGCGTTACGAACGCAAGGAGTAGGCGGCGCAATTTCATGAAAAAACCTAATCGGTTAAAATCCAGAAACGACTCGGCCAATTAGGGAGATGTCCGAGATGGGAACCGAGTTTTTCCAACAGCAGAAAAATGTGCAATAAATAAATAAAATTTATGTTACTATAAACTATAATGAATGTTCTATTATATTATTAAAAAATTAATCCAAATTTACAGATTGTTATAAACAATCGAAATTCACAACAATATTTTGAATAGCATGATGTCCGAATATTAATAAGAGTCACTGTACGTAGAAAATGAAAAATGTGTTTTCGTCAGGAAAGCGGTACCATACCGATATATACCGGTATTAAAACCGATTTCCCAAATACCGGTATACACAATATTTCGGTTTCAGTTTACCGGTATAATACCTAAACCTCAAAATATTTCGGTTTTCAGTCTCTGATTTTAAAGCATATTAAGAATATTACAACTCAAAAACAAATAATAGCTTGCAATGATGCATGTTCAAGTCAAAACCGTAACATTAAAATAGCACTAACATAAATGAAAATTGTTCAATCAACATTGAAATAGTAGATCATTTTGGTACCTGGCCATTCATCCAGGATGAGGAAAAAACCAGAATGATCGTGATTTTGTCTCGATAGAAATGAGAATAAGAAAAGCGAATTACTTATACATCCCTGAATATTATTATGAACTAACAGAACTGTGTAGAAAAAAAAATCCATTTTTGGTACAAAATTTTCTTGATTGAAAATATAATGGATTCAATTTTTAAATAATGCCCCATATTAGAGGCATAAAACTTGTTTAAATGATGCTGACGATTCCATGTTTTAGATCTTTCACTCAAAAAAAGCAGACCAAAAAAATACCAAAATATCCACTTATGTAATTCCATTATACACCACCATTAAAACAATAACAGAAGAAAAATACAAAGATTTACTACCTTATATCCCACCAATTTACCAAAAATATTTCACTCGACTCAAAATCTCATTTCCGAAGGATAAGGAGAAAATCAGAAATGATAAAAATTAATTATAAAATGTGAATTAATAGATTTGAATTAAATTTTTTTTTTGTAATAAAATTTGTTGTTTTTTATTGTTGCAAGTCAGTTTTAAGACATTGAGTTAATTTTGAAAATGATCTAAGTTATTTCAATGGTCTAAGTCATT